TGTTAAAAATTTTAAGATTGTAAAACTACTATCAATCTCTCAAACATGGAAGAGTAAGCACTTCGCAGCCACACACCTGTTTTTTGTTCGTAATCTGAGGTCATTTTTGTTTATATAGTAGCTTTTAAAGTCCTGCAAATAATTCAGCTATTTTTAAATTATTCACAGAACAGTAGCCTTTTTTCATTCATTATAGGTCATGAAAATCCAGCCTTTTAGTCAGGGAAAACTAAATAATTTTTTGTTTGGATTCGAGTGGGAACCATGGCAAATGTTTTTCAGCAAAAGAATATTTCCAAATTGATTAGGTTTTATAAAGGCTTTATCATTTTTAGCCCGATGTAGTGTTTATGTTTACCAGTAAGTGCACTGTTATTTCTCTATTAACAGTTTGAGTTTCATCTAGCCTTGTTATTTTCACAAACATTTGAATATAGAAGCACAACTGTAAACTAAATTAGTTGGATACACCAAAATGGGATGTCTGGTCTAGATAGTTATTTTTTGATTAAATTAATGCAAGCTTGTTTATAGATGCTTATGATCACCAGTGTTATTCCTCTGTTTACAGCATGAGTTCCGTCTAGCGTACAGTAACTTGAGTGCAGGGTTAATCCGCTGTCTGGCTGTTAGTCCAGGAGGACGCACCATTGCTGCAGGATTTTCCACTGGTTTTATAGTCCTGCTGGATGCAAGAACCGGTCTGGTGCTGAGGGGCTGGCCTGGTCACGAGGGAGATATACTACAAATGAAAGTGAGTATGCATGCTGTTGGTTAATGTGTAATGCAAGACATGCATACGACTGCACACTCCTGTCCTGTTATGTTTTTACACGTTGCATGCTTGTAAACAAAAATTGTGTCTGTATTGATTTTGGGAAATATCATGTAATGAAGAAACTCACATGCATTACATCATTTTTAATCAGATTTATTTTCTCATCGTGATGAATAATTATTATTAGCAGTAGTCCAAATAACATATTAGTATCATGACTTTCCCGAATCCAGTAGATTACAGGAAATAAACAAGATGCGTGTCTTGTTTCAGTGTCTGGATTCACGTCAGTGCTTGAGATTTCAGTATGATGAGTAAAAGTTGTACCTTGTTGGTTTGTTCAGATGTAGTCAACAAGTGACTAGGACTGAGCAAACTTTATTTAACCCTGATTTGTAGGGTCAAAGGTCCTTTTCTGCCACCAGAGGCCCATGTTTGGGCAAATAAAGACTTGGGTTACTCATTAGGACAAACTCTATGAGCAGATTTGCAGATTACTTTATTATTCACAACTTTGTTAGTTGATAGATTAGCAGGGCTTTACAGTAAGCATGGTCTGATGCCTTATGCTGGTGATTCAAGTTGCTACTGGGCAACTAAACTAATACTTTAAACATTTTTATGCTTTTAAAAAAAAAAAAATATATATATATATATAAATATATATATACATATATATATATATTAAAAAAAATATATATATATATATATATATATATATATATATATATATATATATATATATATATATATATATAAAGTACATATTCTGCCAATTAGTCATTAAGTTCATGTTGTTTATCTGAAAAAGGTTATATAGCAGGGGTGTCCAAACTCAATCCTGAGGGTACGGTGTCCTGCAGATTTTAGCTCCAACTTGCCTCAACACACCTGCAAGGTTGTTTCTAGAAAGCCTGGTAAGAGCTTGACTGGCTAGCCCAGGGGTTTCTAATTGGAGTTGGAACTAAACTTTGCAAGACACTGGACCGAGTCTGGACACCCCTGATATATAGTTTTATTTAGCAGTGGTGTATTAAACACGTTACAAAATATTTCCATGAAAAAAATATATATAAAATTGTAAACATTTCTACAATCAATAATAAATTCTACATATTTCTAAACTATTTTGAATCGAAAGTTTCAAAGATTTCTAAAAAAAATAAATCACGTGTTTTAATGGTCATTTGTGACCCTGGACCACAAATCTAATCTCATGTTTGACAGGTATGTTAATACAAAAATACATTATACTTATTTTATGCTAAAGTTTTAGAATATTATGAAATGAATATTACCTTTATTTAAGACACTTTGTAAATTTCCTTCTGTAAGTATATTAATATATTCACTCTTTCATAGTTAAGCTAGTGTAAATGTCCTTTAATGATATTTTCCTTAACTGTGTGTTTTATGCGTGTGTATCAATTCGTAGGCAGCAGAGGGGAATCTGCTGGTCAGCTCTTCATCTGACCACACACTGACCGTTTGGAAAGATGTGGAGCACAAGCCACTCCACCAGTACAGGACTCCATCCGACCCCATCCATGCATTTGATCTTTACGGTGCGGAGATCGTGGCGGGTACTGTTGCCAACAAAATCGGAGTGTACTCCATTCTGGACAGCACAGCCAGCCTAGCAGGATCCACAAAACTCAGCACGGAGAACTTTCGTGGGACCCTCACAAGTCTGTCTGTCTTGCCCACCAAGAGGTTACTGCTGCTCGGCTCTGACAACGGTGCCATCAGGCTGCTGGCTTAAACAAACTACTGTTACCTTTTCACAAAACAATATTCCTTGTGCCACTTCTGGCTCCTTCCCCAGAATGAAACGATCTTGCCAACCATGCACAGACACCCGTTTCAGTCACAGAAGGAGCAAGCCTGATATTTACATTTTAACCTCGCTGAAAGAGAACTTACAACCTCCGCGCTCTTTAGTAAGTGACCAAAACTGAAAATTGCCTCTGATTCATACAATCAAAAGAATAGTCTTTTTTAAAAAATGATTTTTAGGGTTCATGTTCTATAAACTAGCTGCTTTGTATGTATTATTTGACTCTTCAGAAAGGATGGATTCTTAGACGCATGCTTGAGATGAGCTGCTCAGGAAAGTTGGTTCTAGTGTAGCGTTTACACTTCTTTCCATCAGACAAGTGACATCACCAAAAACATCACTGTGAGAATCACAGATTTAGATTTTGTTGATCATATCATATGATTCCATTCACCAGACTTGCTCAGCAACTATGCAGTATTCATGGTAGATGTTTATAGTGCACAATATATGGTAGTTTTTTTTTTTCAATACTACTCTGTATGTTTCTGTATCCACGTCAATGGAGCGTAATGAACAAGACAAATGTGATCAAATGATGACTCTTCATTCTGTTACTTTACACTGAATGAGAGTGTAAGCACTCAATATGCAATGGGATGGTCCTGAATACTGAATTTGGACCTTTTGACATTTAAATTATGTCTGTTGATTATATAGATCAGCTTGATGTAGTAATTGATTTGATTTTCACATCAACCCCAGGTCAAGTGACATGTTACATTTTTTACGCACACCATACTGTGTGTATGTTTGTATATACATACACATTTATAAATATATATATATATGTATATCTACGTTGAATCCAATGCTTACTATCTAAAAGAATACTTTTATGCAACATCCATGAAAAGATAGGAGGTATTTAATTTATTACTGGAATGCTTTATGTAAAACATTATTATCTCCAGACATTCCAATTCTATAATGTTGAGAATACACTGCAAAAAATGCTTTTCTTGCTTAGATTTTTTGTCTAGTTTTGAGTCCAAATATCTAAAAATTCTTAAATCAAGAAGAATTTTTAGATATTTGGACTCAAAACTAGACAAAAAATCTAAGCAAGAAAAGCATTTTTTTGCAGTGTATGTAGTGAAAATTATTCAGAATGCTAAAATATACATTTATGGTTCGCTAATTCCCTCAATTTATAAGGTATGAAGATTTGGCTGATGAGTTTTCAGTTACAAATTTAGGTAACAATAGGGTTTTATTTACCGAACGTACATTGAACAATGCTTCTGTATTTACTAATACATATTTAAGTCAAGTAAACAATAGTTTATGCACTGAACTAACATGAACTGAAACATTAACAAATGGTAATATATGCAGTATATAAAAAAAGATTGTTAGTTTATGTTACTTACTGCATTAACTACAAATGAGTTCTTACCGTAACTGTAAGTTTTCATTTTGGAAAGCACATTTTATGTTCCTAAAAGCTTTCCACAAATCCTTTACGGATAGAGAAATTGGACAGTTGTGTATCGTTTCATATCCAAGTCCTTAAACACACTTAAAATGCAGCTTCATGATTTTGATAATTCATGCTATTGATCATGTCCGTTTGAGACTGACCAACACATTAGCCATTGCCCTTTTGTATTTCATTGCAAGTATTTTTTTTTTACTTTTAAACTGGGACCCTTTTCTATATACTCACCTTTTCAATGATTTCAAGTAAAATAAATTAAACCTAAATGTGTCCTGTGTTTGTGTTGTCTAAAAACTCAGATTGGTTGACTCTGTGATGAATGAGTAGGATGGTCTGTTGCTCAGTTTGCTTGTGTTTGGAAGCAGAACCCCCATCCGAGAGGTTACTTTGATAGGACAAAGTCTGTTTGAGTGTTTGCAACACTTTGCCTTTCAACTGCTTTCAATTTAGAGATCTTGGCAGATGCTTGCCAAGGTAATGGTGGAGTCTGGCACTTCTTTGTTTGTCTGGCATACAGTATGAGAAAGCAATATAAAAGCCCTTATCCAATAACACTCTATATCAATATCAACATTGGCAGTGCTGTCTTGTCATCTCCTCCTCATTAATTTTTCTAATGCCGCAAGTTTACTCATATTCATAGCCTCACATGCACTGTCAGCAGTGAGTTTATTTAGCTAAGCAAACTAGACAATTCCAATTTATAACTTACTTTGTTCAAGCTATTCACAGATCCAGCTATCTACACACTTGAGTTTGATGTTCGACCTCAAGGTCTCTCAATATTTACATCTATGAAGAGGTAGGTACTGACTATGAGCTAAAGATCAATGAAAGTTGAAATGTAACTGCGTGCTGCGAGACTGCCAACCCCTACAGACAAGAATTTTCCCGTTGCCTGTTTTGTGTGTTTCTTTCCCAAATCAGGGCTGGATCCCACTCCTGGAGATTTGCACGGTAAGCACCTCGTTTTCTTAGGTTCTGTTCTGTTAATTCTCAGTAAATAATTGTTTGCTGTGTATTTGGAAGAAACTGCTGAATACAATAGCCGAATCTGTTGCCTGCTGTTTTGTTTAATATGTACAACTGATCTTCTTTGTGTTTTTGAAGTGTAATCACAAATAACTCCCATATGTATATAAACATGCATATTTTTATTTATAAAAATGTGTTTAGTGGTTAATTTAAATAATATTTCCAAATCCACACTGATATTTTATATATATATATATATATTATATATTTTTATATACAACATTCATATCCTTTGTTTCATGTGTTATACTCTTATTCTAATCTGTAGTGTTAAAGAAATGTAAAATTCTTAACCCTGGAATTATGCAACTGCTGACAGACCTTTAGCCATGTTAAACATTTATTGATTATTTGACTAAATATTTAGTTCGGGCTGTAAATTTTAAAAGAACTTGCCTGGAGTTGTGATTGTTAATTAGATCACATCTATATTTGTGGTTTATTGCCAGATTGCAATGTCAGTAGCGAGGTTATTATAATTAAAACACAAATAAAATTGACTTTTTTTGGTACTGAGAATCATACAGTTGAAGTCAGAGTTATTAGCCCCCCTGAATTATTCGCCCCCCGGTTTAATTTTTTCCCCCAATTTCTGTTCAACGGAGAGCAGACTTTTTCAACACATTTCTAAGCATAATAGTTTTAATAACTCATCTCTAATAACTGATTTATTTTATCTTTGCCATGATGACAGTAAATAATATTTTACTAAATATTTTTCAAGACACTTCTATACAGCTTAAAGTGACATTTAAAGGCTTCACTAGGTTAATTAGGTTAACTAGTCAGGTTAGGGTAATTAGGCAAGTTATTGTATAACGATGGTTTGTTCTGTAGAGTATCGAGAAAAAAAAGCGTAAAGGGGCTAATAATTTTGTCCCTAAAATAGTTTTAAAAAAATTAAAAACTGCTTTTATTCTAGTCAAAATAAAACAAACAAGACTTTCTCCAGAAGAAAAGAAAAAATATTATTAGACATACTGTGAAAATTTCCTAAATCTGTTAAACATCATTTAGGAAGTATTTAAAAAAGAAAAAAAAAAAAAACAGTTAAGGAGGGGGTGGGGGGGGGGGTGAATAATTCTAACTTCAACTGCATATATATATATATATATATATATATATATATATATATATATATATATATATATATATATATATATATATATGTGTGTGTGTGTGTGTGTGTTTGTGTGTTATTTGTATGTTTTTAATTGACAATTAAATATTTTGTATTTTCATTTATTTTTACATTTTCAAACAAAAAAAAAACATTAAGGATTATTAAAAAAACTTCATAACACATTCAAAACTATAACATAACTCATTGGATTAATTTAATTGAGGGCAGGATTTCCATCCAATAAATTTGATTAGCACCATCTAAAAATAATATTTATACAATTAAATGCAATTGAGTTGGTCCAACATGATTTTATCAAATAAAAGTTGAAATTAATATGTATTTTTATTTAACTTCAACTCAAAGGCCTGATAATATCATGTGTGTCTGTGTCGTACATTTTAAGTTTCTTTGCTTTATTTGAAGTTATCCTAAATGAACTAAAAGAGCCATTTGTAAGCATATTTGATCTCAGAACTCATATTAGGACAGTTATTGCTCACTGAGCAAAGCAACAAACTACATTTTTTACTAATTATGCTGCCAACATCCAAAGCGTGCGTGATTCTGCAAGGTGGTAATCTCAAAGCTCTTCTAAATCTTCAAACTAAAAAAAGTTTAAACCCTTAAGTTTAAGTCTTTCTGTTAACTTTAAACACCTAAGATTATTTTTATTGTGAACTTTTCTCTTAATCCAATTCCACACAAAGCATGCTGGGAACTACAATTCCCCTAAGTACTGTAGGTAGTTGGACCAACACAATTCCTTCGTGTTGTCCCTACACAAAAACGCTTGTTAACTTAATGGTTTACAAATTTTGGTGGACTGAACATAAAACAAATTAATTAGTCAAAGAAATAGCAAGAATGTTGTTGTTTCAGCTCATGTTAAAAAGGTGGTTTGAACAAGCAGCAGTAATCCTTTGTTTCTCTGCATTTAAACATTTAAAAGTACTAAAATATGTTGATAAAACAACACTAAAATAACAAATCTGAAATCAACTACAAATCTACTAACTACTATAAAAATTCAAACTCAAATTATTAATACATCCTATAGCAAATTGGTATAAAAATAGCGCTGGCTAATAGGGATTCTGGATTTCTGAGCAATAAGCAAGTCAGGGAGATCAACAGGAGTTATGTTTAAAATATAATCTAGTACACAATAAAAACTGTGTGTCAGGGTGTTTCTTGTATTTCTACTGAAGTGAACCCAAAATGTGTACTAAAAGATATAATATTTGTTTTTTCTGTGATACAGATAAGTATTTCAGTAAGTATGGCCTTCGTACAAACAACCAGTCATCAATGAACAAGGCCAAATAATTTCAAATCCTGTGTAAATGGCTCTGCTCTTTGATTTTTAGACTAACTTCTAGAACATGAACTTGTGTTTTCTGGCATTCCTCCTCCTTTGTTACTCCAAGCAAGGCTGGACGGTAAAGAATTGACTTAATCCTTGCTTAATTTTCAACATTATTTTATTCAATTGAAAAGCCATGAATGACTACTTTTAACTGCAGGACGATGTGACTGATCCAGAGGATGGAGTGGATCCTGTAATTCCTCTCATTCCACTGACTCCAAGTAAACCCATATCAGTAAGACACCACAATCCCCAGTGCTACATCTCTGAAAGTATACATGTTTAGACTTTTGACACTACTATCGTCTTGTCCCACTCAGGATTTGAAGGCCACTCTTGACCCCACTGTAACAGAAGAACTCACAGTTAATCCAGATGGCCTGGAAGCAGATCCTCCAACACCAGGTCCCTCTAGTGGGCAGAAAGAGGGATCGTCGGAGGAAGAGCTTGATACCCTTTGTGATGGGGACATGACAGGCAAACAGATAAAACGGACCATAGGCAACGGCATTATGAAGCTTGGCCTTTTGTTCCTGGAAAACTTGAAGCCTAGTCCAGATCAACCTAATGTCATCTTTTCTCCTCTTAGCTTGTCGGTAGCACTCTCACAGCTAGCACTGGGTATGTCTGGAATCCACAATGAAAAATTAGGAACCCTAAGAATAACAGATCCAATTCAGACCGCAAGATGTTAATTTAATCTTTTTGTTTATCTGAATCTCAGGAGCAACGAATGATACAGAAGAGCTGCTTCTACATCACCTGCATGCCGATGCTCTGCCCTGCTATCACACTGCCCTCAGCAGCCTACTGCGCAACTTCCGCAAAAGGAGCATGCCAATCGCCAGCCGCATCTATCTGAAAACGGGTGAGAGTCACACATATATATTGTCATGCAGGTGTAGTGTAGAGCTTTGCGAGAAAACCTCATTCTCCTTGCATCAAGCGGTCCACTTGTGCCTCTGTGCAAGTCTTTATCATCCATCTGAGAGCACCTTCCTCATATGCCGGAAGCGCTAGTTCAGATCATGCTTGGAAATGTGTGAGCAGAGCCACAGGGGTTGGGGGTAGGGGGGCTAAAAATGGCCAGCTAGCCAGAGCTGTACAAGTAAACCTCACTCCTCTGGCCTCAGGTGATGCACTAGCTAATGGTGCTAGAGGCAATGGCCTTCCTGTCCTTTAGTGGGCTTGGCCCTCATGCTAGAAATGCTAGTTTGAATCCTCCTTGGAATGGTGTTAGCACAACCACAGCATTTGGATTAGTGTTAAAATCCAGATGAGACATAAGTTGTGTGACCAGTCAAAAATACCCCCAAAATAGCCCAGCAACATAGCTAGCAGCTATGGCCTTCTTATCTTTCCTAGAGTGCCTAGCTCTCTTGCCATCCAAGTCCAGCTCTGAGTGGGATGAGGGCCTTTACTCTGGTGCCTTGACCTGGATGAAAATGACAGGTACAGGGTTCAGTCTAATAGAGGCTAATTAGTAGGAGCATTGCAGGTAAGTCTTATTCCCTTGATCTCAGAAGTTCCAAGTTGGGAAACGTCATATTCGAGAAGGGTGCGTTGATGATTTGCAGGAGTTTCCCAGAGTTTGCTGAGGACGTATTTGAAGAGCTGGGGTGGGGTGACAGGGGTGTGTGATGTATTTAAGAAACGGGAGAGGGGGCATCCGGGAGTCTCTATGCATATGCAGGAGACTCCCTGAACTTCCAGAAGACCTGAGATGTCTATGATCTCGAAGAACTCACTAGAGAATGAGTGATTGGGAATGACACTGATGGCTATGGTACAAAACGTTCTCCTTAGCATGCATGGCGGCTATGTAGGAAATGCTGGATTGAATCTTGCTGAGTAAAGTAGATCTGGTTCTCAAAGTAGATCAAAGTAACTCTTCTGGTTTTCACATGAGATGCAGATGAGGAGTTAGCTTTCAGACCGGTCCATTTTTTTTCTGATTGCAATTGCATCATAGTTAGATCATCATTGTGAAGTAGGAGCTCAAATAGTTTCACTTCCACCAAAATAAGCAGATACTTGTAATAGTTATTGATGTTGCCCCCCATGCCTGAAATGCTGGTTAGAATTCAGGCTCATTACGGGCGAGGTAGAACTGAAAGAGTTACACTGGTGACATGACCCAGATGGGAATAAAGTTTGGGGTGTTAGTGCAACAGAGGCCAGCTTAAAACAACTACACGACGACACAAATTCAGTATTAATCCACATAGTGGCAAAAGTTGAACTATTTTAAAAATTGACCGCACCACGCATGTGAAGATCAGCTGATGGTGGCCATAGTAAAGGCAAACAGCAGAGGATGATGAGTTCAGAAACACATTTGAAAAACTATTTAAAAACTATTAAAAAACGCCAAAAAAACTATCCTCATGAACTGGAAATCAAGAAATAAAATTCACATCTTACACTGGAAAAACTTATTAACAGAATACATCTCCATTGAAGATCCTCTTTGCCTGAAGCCATTCCCTAACAACACCTTCATCAGTATATAAACAAGAGGGGAGGGGGGAGAGGGGGTCAGGTAGAGGTATTAGAAAAAAAAAAAAAAAAAAAAAGTATATATATATATATATATATATATATATATATATATATATATATATATATATATATATATATATATATATTAAATCTAATTTAAAATAAATAAATCAATTGGAGAGAAAAAAAAAAAACTATTTAGTGTAAATTGTATTAATACCTTTCCACATTATAATTCGGTCTTTATATGCTTCTTTGCTTTCCCTTTCATTCTATTCGTTCTCCTTTTCTGTCTCTCTCAATGTTATATATTCAATTTTTTAGTATTATTTATCATATTATTTTTCCTTTTTATTATTATTATTTATTATTATTAAGCATATTATTATTATTATTATTATTATTATTATTATCATTACATATTTTTTATACCAGTTCTTCCCCTGACCAGTCCAACAACAGATAAAAACAATAAGAGAAAAAAAAAAAAAAAAAACATTCAGACTACATTCAGAGGGAAAAGTGTGACGTGGGCATGGCAGCCTGGGCATTGCACTGGACTGATCCATGCTACACGTCACATTTTTTTTAATGCATCACAAAGCAACTGACAAACACTTTATACCACAATGCTCCCCATACAACTTCCACCTTCTCAAGTTATTGTTAAAACTGGTGTTGTTTTTTGTTTTTATTATTATTATTATTATTACCAGCATGAGTATATTATAGTTACAGTATTAATAATCCATCATACATCTTATTAATATTACTATTTCCTGTGGGTTTGTATAATTCGTAATTGTCATTTAATAGTAATGTTTTTTTTAATTATTATTACTATTATTATTTTTATTATTTATTTTATTTTTTTATTATTATCATTATTATTCTCATTGTTTTATTCGCTGAATTTTATTTTTTCTACTCTTTTTGTTTCTTTCCTTTTCTTCTATTCTTTGCGTTCTTTTTCTGTTTTTTTTTTTCCTTTCCCTCTCTTTCCTCTTCTACTTACTACTACTATTATTATTATTATTATTATTATTACTTGTCCTCTCCCTGATTTCCCAACCTCCCCTCCCCCTCCCCCTGCCACTTTTATCATTAATGGTATTACTTTTACTTTTGTTATCATTAATATTATCACTGTTCTGACCTGTCCTCCTGTTATCTTTTCATTATCATTAATATAAGTATTAATACGATTATCATTATTAAGGTTGCAGTAATTGTTGTTGTTGTTGTAGTAGTAGTAGTAGTTGTAGCAGTAGTCATCGTAGTAGTATCGATTGTAATTGTATTTTGAAGTAGTAGTTCCTGTAGTAGTTGATGTCGTTGGTATAGTGGTAGCAGAAGTAGTAAAGGTGTTGTTGTAGCAGTAGTAGTAGTAGTCGTTGTTGGTGTAGTAGTAGTAGTAGTCATTGTAGTAGTATCGATCGTAATTGTGATTATTGAAGTATTAGTTCCTGTAGTATTTGATGTCGTTGGTATAGTGGTAGCAGAAGTAGTAAAAGTGTCGTTGTAGCAGTAGTAATCGTTGTTGGTGTAGTAGTACCAGTAGTAGATGTCGTTGATGTAGATGTTGTAGTAGCAGTGATTGCGGTAGTAGTAGTAGTAGTAGTAGTAGACGTTGTATTAGTTGTAGCAGACGCTGTAGTATCAGTAGTGGTAGTCATTGTTGTGGTAGTATCAGCAGTAGTAGACATTATAGTAGTAATAGTTGTGGTTGTGATTGTAGTAGCAGCAATAGTAGTTAATAATTATATAGTAATATAAGTAACTTTCTGCAGTAGTAGTAGTTAGGGTAGTACTTGTGATTTATTATCATTGTCATTTATTATTACTGTTGTCCTTTCTTTCTTTTTACTGTCATTATTTCTATTATACATTACTAAACATAGTTGTTACTCCCTAACTCTGACTGGTTTCTTCTGTATCTGTTTTACTTATATCTGCGAGACTAGATTCATTTATTGGCTAACATTGTTCCTAATGTATGTAATCTGACCTTCCACCAAGTTACCTTTACATGGACACACACACACACACACACACACACACACACACGCACACACACACACACACACACACACACACACACACACACACCTAACAGTACCTGACTATATTGTTGTTGTTTTTTTTTGTTTGTTTTTTTTATTGTTGTTTTGTTATGGTTTTTCGTTGATGTTTTTTGTATTTGTATGATCCCAATTTATGTACCTTTTTGCATATTCTAACAAAAAAAAAAGAAAAAAAAAGAAACACATTTAAAGGGTAAAGAAAGAAACTGTACCTGAGAGATACAGTACTGATCTTTAACAGATAAGTGATTACAAGCAGCGTGGAGCAATTACAAGTTACAACACACAACTAAATACATTTTTTGCAAAGTATACAAAACAAGGCACCAATTTTAATTAGACTTGCATGTTGTGATCCAGAGGAAGAAGAAACTGATCCATATGAACTGTAACAGATACAGACAAAGTCCCTGTCAAAGTCTGACAAAATCCCATACATATATAGTCTTTGCTGCTCCTTCCTTTAGTAACAAACGCCCGTGAATCATTAGAAAAACAACAGGAACAAACACAGCACTAGGTTGGCTATACTATTGTATTGTTGTGAAAATGATCTTTAACCCTTAATTTCCCACAGCCGAATCAGCATCTGTCAGTTATCATCATTTTTATGTTATGATCAGTCCCGTGATCCCCATACTCTGCTAGTGTCTAAAAGGAAATGCGGTTTCATGTTTTACTGGATCCGGTATTTCATATTTGGTGATGTATCATATCGACGTTGATACATTTTGGCAAAAGATCCAAACCCAACACGATTATTCAACTCTGAGTCCATTATTTTATTAAAGAACCTCAATAGTACACGCTGCACTTTCAGATTTAAACCTCACCTGGATGTTTTTATTCACTTAGAGCTGTGTTACACACTGCATAGAAGCTCATTTGCAAAAACCTATAATAGGGGCTCGTTAAATATTTGTATTAAATTGGATTTGAAATGTGCTTTTTTGTCGTTTATGATAAATCTCCATCTCTACATCCATCATCAATTTTTTTTTCTTGATTTATTTTGGGTTTTACTCAAATATATAAATGTTTATTTTTTCTCCCTCAGGATTTAAAGCGAAGTCTGACTTTATGGAAGATTCTCAGAAACTGTATGACTCAGAGCCGGCCACTTTGACTGATGTTAATGACGTCAATGAATGGGTCAAGAAAGTCACAAATGGGCACATCTCAGAGTTTTTGTCCAGCCTGCCTCCCAGCGCTGTTATGATGCTCATCAATGCTATGCACTACAAAGGTCAGAACAAACACCTGTTACAGAACCAGCACGTATTTAGCAATTTCCTCTTGCACTTCAGTGAGTCACATTAGAGGTCTTGCATTATTGTTCCCTTGTTATTTCACAAGTGCAAATCAATAAAGTATAGAATCCAAGTGTTTGTTTTTTCTCGTAGGAGAGTGGCTCACACGCTTTGACCCTCATTTCACCTCCACTGAGAATTTCTACATAGATGAAAACCAGATTGTTAATGTGGACATGATGCTTGGGCCAAAGTATCCTCTCAGCGTGTTCACCCATCATGAGCTTGATGCCCAGGTTAATGCCTTTAGGATGCTACTAAATTACTAGGACTGAATAACTCTCTGTTCTTCACTATCCTTCATTTTTCGACCTTTACAGGTTGCTCGATTCCCTTTTAAAGGCGATAGGAGTCTCTTGGTGGTAATGCCAACATCTGGACATGTGAACGTGTCAGCCATCGCAGCAAAGCTCAATATATCAGATCTTTACAGTCGATTGCCACGAGAAAGAAACATGCAGGTCAAACTACCTAAATTTAAACTCGATTTCAACCAGGACCTCCAAGAGGCCATGACAAGCATGGGTAAGATGTCATTCATCTAACACATTACAACTAATTATTTAAATAAGTTTATACTGTACTTTTAGTTAGACCACAATAATAAAAAAAGAAGATTACTTTATATTCACAGCAGTGTAGGAACTTAACTGAAGCTTGAGGCAAGACTAACATATTTTTATACATGAACTCGCCGCAAGCTCAAGATAGAATGCAAATAAATTACTTGAACATTTAAAGTGCAAATGAAATCAAACTAACCGTATGATTTTGTTAGCTCACATTATTGGTTTTGTGGTGAAAAATACATCTGTACTTGTAATCTAAAATTTAAATCTGAAAATGCACTTCCTGTTTGTTTTCAGTTAAATTCTCAGATTAGGTCTGTCTGAGGTATTGGGCGTGGTTAACATATTTAACCACGCCCTTCCAACGGTTAGTTTTCACAACAAACAGAAATGACTAGGAGGAGGTGTCTGTTAGGTTGTAATAACTCTCCTTAAACCCTTTTCCTGATCTTTCTGAATGAAATGCCTACTTACTTACTAAATCCAATCAGTTCACAGTAGATAAAACAAACCATGTCCACTGTTTTCTCATCTGATATTTCATTTCTTTAGGAACTGTATACTTTGTAACACAATACAAAATAATGGTTGCAGCTTCCGATTGATGCAGACTTTAAAAATATCTACTGGCTGTTGTGATTAAAATGTGAAAATGCATTAAATATGCAGAGTTGTCATGACATATAGATGTCCTCATGTTGAATCAGATTTCTTTTTCTGTTATGTTTTTTTTCAGGCATAGGTATTTATAGTAGTTACCCAGAAAATACTGAACAAACCAAAATTTTTCTTCCAAAGTAACTAATCATAAACAACAGATATGATGTAAACTAGGGATTTCACCATGAAGAAAGCTTTATAATTATAATGAAAATATTTGCATGAGTATATACAGTTGAAGTCAGAATTATTAGCCCCTTTTGAATTTTTTTTTCTTTTTTAATTCTTTGCCAAATGATGTTTAACAAAGCAAGGACATTTTCACAGTATGTCTCATAATATTTTTTTCTTTCAGAGAAAGTCTTATTTGTTTCATTTCGGCTAGAATAAAAGCAGTTTTTAATTTTTTAAATACCATTTTAAGGTCAAAATTATTACCCCCTTTAAGCTATACATTTTTTCGATAGTCTACAGAACAAACCATTGTTATACATTAACTTGCCTAATTACCCTATCCTGCCTAGTTACCCCAATTAATCTAATTAAGCCTTAACATATCACTTTAAGCTGTATAGAAGTGTCTTGAAAAATATCTAGTAAAATATTATTTACTGTCATCATGACAAAGATAAAATAAATGAGTTATTAGACATGAGTTAATAAAACTATTATAGTATTTATTTATATTTATTTATAGTATTTGGAAATGTGTTAAAAAATTCTCTCCATTAAACAGAAATTGGGGAAAAATAAACTGGGAGGCTCATAATTCTGACTTCAATGGTATATATTGAGCTAAACTAAAATCATGGGTCATTTTCTTTTTTTTCTTTTACTGTGCAGCCACACTGTGATGTGTAATTTAATCTAAACCTAGTCCATTATCCAACATTAGTAAAAAGTATTACAAAATAATTAATTTCTTGCAACATTGTAGTCTTACACATTTTATATATATATTTTTTCAATTATTTTTTACTCACAAATATATTTTTCTACTGCACTCCAGGTTTAGGAAAGCTGTTTAGTCACCCAAAGCTTGATCGCATCACAGAGGTCCCCTTGTTTGTGTCCAGTGTGCAGCATATGTCCAGCGTTGAGATAAATGAAGAGGGGGCAGAGGCAGTGGCCGCAACAAGTGTGGTCATCTCACGTTCCAATCCTTCATTTACTGTCAACCAGCCATTTTTCTTTGCCCTGATGGATGATTTGAGTCAAACACCATTGTTCCTCGGAGTAATTTCCAATCCAAACCCTGGAGCATCCACTATGATCACAAACCCTGGCAATGCAGACAAAACTGATGACAAGCCTTTTGAGGTTCATCCAAAATAGATTATTTTCATGCTCTTACAAAATGAGTCTATAAGCGATTGCTGACTATGTAGTCTGTCCCCACTGGGAGGCAGATTTAGTATATCTACTTAAAGTAAATTTTTTAAGATCATTTGAAATTACTACCCCCTGTATGAATTAATTTTCTAAATGCACTAATCTTGTTTAAAAATGGTCATGATTTCTTTTTTCTTTCTTTCTTTCTTTCTTTCTTTCTTTTTTTTTAATAAAAGAAATTTGACCAGATATTCCAAGTGGCTTATATGTGTGTTCATTTAAAAGGTTAATACGTCTGAAAATGAAGCATTTACTTGATCATATGTTGTGGAAAATATTATAATTTTGATTTTATATTTTATGAGTAATATAAAAATTATTAGCCTATGTATAGCCTACTTTAACAAGTTGTAGCAATTTTGAGCAATCATTTGTGCTTCAAATTATTACTTTAAATAGGTCAACTTTTAATTTACACATAATCAGTTTTCAAATCAATTCAATTCATGTTTATTTCTATATTGCTTTTACAATGTGTATTGTGTCAAAGCAGCTTAACATAGCACATGTAGTAAATTAAAACTGTTTCAGTCCAGTTTTCAGAGTTGAAGTTCAGTTTAGTTCAGTTAAGTGCGGTTTTAATTTTAGCAAATCCATCGATGCAAAACTCCACAAGACCCAAACCACGCAAGTCAGTGGCAAGGAACAAAATTTCACAAATTGACAAAGTGAAGAAAAAAAAAAACTTTAGAGAAACCAGGCTCAGTTGGGCGCGACCATTTCTCCTCTGGAAAATTTCTTGAGCAGAGCTGCGGTCTAGGCGCCAGGGGCTGGAGAACGCTGGACGTTCATCGTGGAGAAGCTGCAGGTGTGAGTAAGGCACCGGTGGATGTTCAGGCTGGCCCCCGAGACAGACAAGAGAGACTCGTTTTTCCACAGGGATCTTTCAGGAATCAGTCTCATGCTCTCCACTCCTCCAAGATTGCCACAGCATCTCCTTAGGATATGCCCTGTTCCAGGGTTATGTAGAACTCTAAAAGTGCTCTATGGCTGGCATTATCTCTTCAGAGGACTTTGATCACATCAATGGTGCTGCATAATCTCAAGAGAACTTGGGATGAGTATCCCCAGGTGGAAATAACGAACAAGGAAAACAGCGTAGCTGCTGTTCATTGTGTATTTAAACAAGAGATATTAAATATCAGTGCAAAAAGATGCGCAATTAATGAAAATAGTTATATAAACAAACATGCAAAGCATAGAAGTGTTTCTAACAAAATGTTGGGTGCATTAGGACCGAAGGAGTGTGTCCTACAAGTGGTTTGTCAAGTCCACTCACCTGCATGGAGCACACTCATACATCGTGCCGATATGTGGTGCATTGTGTGTATGCTTTACTAAAAAGATCTTAATCTAGTTTTGAATTGAGAGAGTGTGTCTGAGCCTTGGACATTATCATGTGTTGTCATGTGCAAGAAAAAATGTTTTATGATTACAAGATTCAAAACTATGTAGTGCTAAAAACAGAGGTTCTGTCTAGCCAAAGATAGAACTGTACAAGGCCTGGGTGATCATTCTGACAGTGAACTGCACCTGTATGGCAGGGTATGTGAACTAAGATTTTTATATTTCATCCTAAGCATTCAGTGTCCGCAGTTTAATTAACCATATTTAACTGTTTTTGCAATGTGTATGATTCAGCATATCGTGAACTTACCTGTTATAAAATGATAACTGCAGAGTCAAGCATTTTTAATTAGGTCTTCACTCCATACAGCTCTTATGATGGCTGTTAGCTGAAGATGTCTGCCTTGGCATCTTTGAGGTTTATAAAAACGGGTTGAATTGTAGCGAGACAGGTTGGTTAGATAAACAGGAGCTATTTAAAGTTTATGATTTAGTTTTCTTTGCCCCAATGGAATGAAACTCTAATTCAAATAATACACTTTTCCAGAAAAATAGAACTGAAAGCAGGTTTGTTGACTCAATTTTCCCAATAAGGTAGAATTTTCTCAATAAGGTAGAATAAATTTTACTTTCTGTAGATTCAAATGAAATTCTATAATCCATAATATAATTTATTAGTTATGAGATGGACGTGCAGGTTACATTATTCCTCGGTTATTTCGCATAACCTTGTGAAAAAGGAATTTGGATCCTCCTGTGTCGTATGTATTTTGACATTCAGCGGATGTAGTTTGAAGCCGGAAACGCGTCATCGTGTGCAGCAGCACTTTCGCGCGTTTGGAGAGTTGGCGCGAGGACACCATTGGAGGAAACAGGAGATCGATCAGTTCACGGGTCTGTTGGAGTCTTTTGTCGTTGCAAAATTTAATCTTCCCTCCGCTATATTTTTGTGAAAAGATGACTGTTAGACTGTCGGAAGGGGCAATTGAGGTGAGTTCACAACAGCAGAGTTATTTTTAACCATCGCAGACGTAAACATGCTAAGTGAGTTAGCCAGCCACAAGTTTTTCCCCTGCAGTTTCAGACTATGACAGGGGAATTTTATCAATTTATTATCACAGTTTTGTGTAACGTTAGTTTTTCTTATTAACGTTAACAGCATTTTGCGATGATTAAGTCTTAACGTGTCAACACAACGTTGAGACGTTTTTTTATAAAAACGTAAACGATACATAGACGTTCATAAACACTCAGTCGGGTTTATTGTATATCATTAACTTTATGCAAAATGGAGTTTTAAATGTGTATGAAATAAATAAGATATCTAAAATCTCCCATGTTTTGATTTACAGTACGTGGCAATAAGTGGCTTTAACTTAATTCTTTTGTTGTGTATTTTTTCTTTGCAGTCCCTTTCAAAAGGAACTGAAGTCAACAACCCTATTCTTCAATGTGTGGTAATTGTCAGATTCTCTGTACATTGTTTACAATCGATCAAATCATTTCATTTCAGCAACTTATTATAATAATTTTCAAGATTTGAAAGTTAAAATGCAAGGGACCTCCATCCCCAAAAATAAAATGCATGTGATTTCTTGTGTTTAGAAATTTAACCTTATACTGAGAATATCCTGGATAATATAATACTAACTTATATTTGCCATTACATGTATTATATTTATTAAATTTAGTGTTTATTTTTATTTATGTTTTACATTCGTAAAAACCCAAGTTTATGGAATAATCATTTTATATATTATATTTTTTATTTTTTTATTATTATTTTTTATTTTTTGCAGTTTGCATACTAAAGATTAAGGTTTATGTATTATGGGTTATTTTAATCCAAAGTTTTTTTTTTTGTTTCATTTATACTGATGTGTCTCGATATGATGTTTTAATGTAATACACATCTCCTAAAAATATCTTAACTTCTTAAGTTTAATAAAATGCTTTTTATTTTCTTTCTTTTTTGTTACTGTTTTTATCAAAGCCATTGTGCCCCATTGCAGTGATCTGAAAGTCTGAACAGATTAAAAAGCTTTTGGAAGAATAATATCAAAGCCTATATAGCCAACTTTATGAGGGGAGTAAAATATTTCAAAGATTAACATTTGATAGCCACAATTTGTAACATTTTAATAGGCTTAAACAAAAATGTTAGTAAGGTTAACAGACAGTTAAATTATTTATTTTTATTTATTTTGTTTTTGTATGTGTCATATCAGTTTTATTTTTGTAATTTATTTATTCATGTTTCATTTACTCTTTTTAAAATATATATATTTTTATAAAATATATATTTAGTTTACATATCCTTTACTTTTTCTTTAAGACAATTTTATCACCTATTTAAAGCCGTAGTGTCAAATATATAGAGCAAGACTTAAAAATGTTAAATATTCTTCAGAACATCCGCAAGATTGATGGAGGTAATGGTGTGTCCCGTTTCCGTGTCATGATGAGTGATGGGCTGCACACTATGTCCTGTAAGTATAATCAGTCTACAGAAGTCTGTTCTTTACATTTATTGTAATTCACATGCTTAGGATGTGTTTTGAACTTTTTGTGTTATTATTGTTTGTTCAATATTTTTGTTACATGCACAGATACATTTCCAAATAGTGTGCATATGTCTTCAAAGATAATTTAAAAAAACTCAGGAAAGCAGTGATTGAAATGTGTTTGTTTATACATCTTTGTTTATGTAAACATTCTAGTCTATAAAACTATGCTGCATGCTTAAAGGGTATCATGAAACCATGCATTCCTATATAATATGGTCTATTTGTTTTCCTGCATACAGCGTTCATGCTGTCCACACAGCTCAATCCCATGGCTGAGCAAAACCAGTTGGCCACTAACTGTGTTTGTGTGCTGAAAAGAAGCGTCACTAATGTTCTCAAGGATGGACGGTAGGCATTCAGCGCCAGGTCTTGATCTCATTTTCTTTTTTTCACAGTTGGTGTTAGCAGGCTTAATAGATTTTATGATGGGCTTTTCTGTGACTTTGCTTTTATATAAGATTTTGTACAAAGAAAAAATGTATTTAAATTAAGTAAAAAAATTATATTAAGTTTAAAATTACATATTATAAAATATGCTTAAAGTAAACTTTATTTTTTAATGTAATTTTTTGTTTTATTTTTGTTTTATTTTAAATTGATTTATTTTATGATAGCAAAGCTGAATTCTCAACATCATTAATCCAGACTTCATTGCATTCTTTCATAATTATTTGAATGATAGAAATTTAAAAAAAACTTTTAATTGAAATGCATGTACACTTTTAAGATTTTATTTAAGCAACTTGAGCAATTGAATGATAATTCAATAAATTGTTTATATTTAATTTTTAAAAGATTGTATGTGCTTAATAATAATAATGTTAATCATTATAAGACATGTTTATTCTATTTTATTTTTTTGTGGCTGTAAAAAGACGGGTGGTGGTTATACTGGACATAGAAGTGCTCAAGTCTGCTGACCAAATGCCGGGAAAGATTGGAGACCCGACTCCTTACGTTGAGGGTGAGAGTACATTTGACATGTCTGATATTATGTAAAACTAATTTTGTTGTACCCAATACAGCACTAAGGGCACATATTCACTGAAGCATTTTTACACAGCTGACATGTTTGCATGATTCTCCTCCTGTTGGAGCTTTTAAAAAAACACAGAGCTCTCAGTGCTTTGCTTAAATGCACGCTCAATACCTCGCCATGCTGCTGATTTTATTGAAAACTGAAAAAATATGATCAGCTTTAAAAAAATGCTTGGTCGGACATGTGCTCTAAGGCTCTTTTGCATGGCCTTAAAGTAATCATGTTGGTGCAATGTTAATTGTTTTATTTAAGGTCAGTCAAAGGCACCGAGTACAGCTCCAGCTCCAACTGCACGTCCATTACAGCCACAGAATGGAAGCGATGGTAAAGGCATGCACATAAAGTGGCTTTCAGGGTTCATTTATTTATTCCACTCCCTCCACATCTGTGCTTTGGTTTTTTCAGTTTCACTTTAGTTCTGGCAACTGAATATCATTTATGGGATATTTTTTAGCTTCCCATTCAGAAGTGTTTTTTTTTTAATAGAGATTTTTTCACATTTATCCATTTGAGTGTTTGTAAGATTAAAAAAAAAAAAAAGATATTACTATAAAACGGTTGGCTTTTCAGTGGTGATTTGCATTGGATTACAATCTTGACTTGACTTGGAACACAACTCGCCATGACACGTTACTTTGCATACTATATGTCCTAAGCAGTGTTCAGAAATTGAATTATTGTTTCCCCAAATCATATTATGTTGCAATAAGTACTCCATATTTACCACGATGGTCTACCATTTCCAGGTAGAAATTGGAAGTGCAGATTTGTGCATACTGTAATGGCTAACATTTTTCACAATACATTGTGTGTTGGATTAGAATTTGATTAGAACTGCAAACCCAAGTAAAAGTGTTAAAGTGTTTGGTTATTTACTTCTGAATGCATAATTATATAAACACCTGAGATTACTCAGCATGAAGAACCGTGAAAGGCAGATTGTCTCACAGCTGCGTCTACAATAGAGTAGAAAATTAAATATTAAAGAAATGTGGATAATGTAAGATGATTAAGGCACGTAACTAAGCAATATGATGGTCCATTAATGAGGAAGTTGATTGTCTCAGGGCTACCATAATCTTCTGTTACACACCCAAAAGTATATACTTTTTCGTCACAAAAAATGTTTGTACTTTTAGGGCTTGGTATAAGTAGATGAATTGGGATGCAGCAACAGATTCCCATTCTCTATACATCAGCACAGTCTTACTGCATACAGCATGCACTGCTACAGATCTTATCCAGTAGTAGCTGACTAATGTTAGGAAATTTTGAACTGCTAAAGTGTTATAAATGATCAACTTTATACCAGTGGTAACATTGGTTTGAAAACCCATAAGTCTTTTAAGTGTTTAAATGATAATCTAATCGTAACTATAGAAACCAGTTTGAAAACTAACCACTAATCAACAACTTTCTTTAACTGATAAACAAGCTATTCGATGAATTGAAAAGTCAATGCTGCTGCTGTTGGGAAAGTTTTAAACTTTGTATACTGGAAAAAAGTAGCTGTAGAGAGGGTAGGAATTTTACTATCACCTTCTGGCATTATTAATGCATATTGACTGAAATGACTGTAAGATTATTTATGTTAAGTATTTTATATTACATTTGTATGTTTTTATGACCTTTGCAATCAATTAAGTAATTAGTAATACTACCCTTGCTAAATTCAACATTACTTACACTACAATGTTTAACCTATCATTTTGCTCTTATAAATGGTATGCACACTTTGGTTTGTGTAAGTTATAACATTTTTTACCTCTGTACTTTCACAAATTTGAAACAAATCTAACCATTTAACATTTTCTGAAAAACATAGATTAAAGAAACCTTATAGGGGTTTGCCATAAAAGCTAATTGTCGTGGAAATAGCCATAGAAACTAGTATAGTGTTTAAAAAAAAAAAAAAAGAAACTTTCGTAGATTTCCTAGCTATAGTTTTTTTTTCTCTTCTACTCCCATTAGGTTCAACGTACAGGCCTTCTGCTCAGAGCTTCGGGAAAAAACCCATGGCTGCTCCCAACACTCCTGGAGGCAGCTCCAAAGTTGTGCCTATCGCCAGCCTCAATCCATACCAGTCAAAGTTCGTATAAATACTAATCTGTATTTTTCATTTATCTGGTAGTCTTTTGCATGTCCATTTGTTGTAAATTACGTCTCATTGTTAAGTTCAGAACATTACATTCAGCTTATTGTTTTCTTCAGATGGACCATTAGAGCCAGAGTCACTAACAAGAGTGCCATCCGCACATGGAGTAACTCCAGAGGGGATGGAAAACTCTTCTCAATGGAGCTTGTGGATGAAAGCGTAAGTATTCCTCTGCTGTGCACAGATTAGAATCTTGAAAGGAAAATAATTATCATTTACATTTAACTTTTTTTTTTATAGGGGGAGATCAGAGCAACTGGATTCAATAATGAGGTGGACAAATTCTTCTCCCTCATCGAGCAGGGGAAAGTAAGCTTTTCTAATCACTTGTGTATTTTTTGTAGAAGTAGAGCTACAAAAATTGACTGCATTTTCTGGAAAATAAGTTGTGTCTGATTAAGGTCCACAACTACATTGCAAATTTACACTATTAAAAATTGCTTTGTGTTAAACATTTTTCAGACACAATAAAATGAGAATTGTTGCTTTTTGTAATTGTCATTTAAAATAAACTACCAGTAACAGTAAATGTTTACAAATAATTAAACATGTTTTTTATTATAATTTTTATTTTAGTACTGTTAAATTTAAAGAATTTGATGTGAAGTAAGGGAAAACAAAATACAAATTATAAAATGAAACTAAGTACAGTTGCATTTACTGTAAACATTTATTAGAAATTTAAAATCTTAACAAGATAATTAAACTGGCATGTAGGAATAGTGCTTTATTAATACTATTGCCTCTTTAATTGCATTGAAAGTCCCTTTGGAATGCAAGTCACTGTATGTTTCAGGTGATAAAAACTTTCACAAGAAATTTGGTATCAGAATCAATTACAGGGATGTAATAGGGCTGTGCAATTAATCGAAAATCCGATTTCGATTTTGGCTTCAAATGTTTATGAAACGGCATTAATCGAGATAAACGATTATTGCATCATATACCGCCCCCTTTCCAGCTGTACACATTTGTTGCTCTTAAAAGCGCGAAAAACTGCGTGCTTATGTATGTGTGGCGCGCGCACACAGAAGCATGTGGCTGGTCAGCATTCGATCTCCTTCGCACACTGAGCGCAGACATCTAAAGTCATCTTAACGTGAGCACTTTAATGGTCAAAGAGGTGTCAAAACGCAGTGTTTAGTGATTATTCAAATTGACCCTCATTTGTGTTATAAACAAACAAGTTGAGAATTAAAAGACACGTGAAAGAGAAACCATTGAAGTGGCAGAAATATCCCTCCTGCCGCCTGTATTTATCATTAACCAAACAACAAGGAGAAAATCCCTCACTACTCTTAACTGAAGAATTTTTGTCGCTAAAGTGTTTTTCTTTAGGGGGAAGACGCTTAAAGCACAATTTGTTTGTCTATTTGCTTAGTAGACAGTTTGTCTATTCTATTGTTTTTTTTTAATCTTTCCTTTGCAGGGTGGAAAATGGCTGTATTTATACAGTTGAAGTCAGAATTATTAGCCCTCCTGAATATTAGCAATCCTTTTCCTGCCCAATTTCTGTTTAATGGAAAGAAGTTTTTTTTTTTTACTTATTTCGGAACATAATAGTTTTGATATCTCATTTCTAATTACTAGGGTTGGGCATCTAAGCTATAATGCCGATCCGATACGCATCTCGATACAAAGAATACGATTCGATATATTAGCGATACATTTGTGACATATTGCGATGCAACACGATACGATTCACACCCATATCACGATACAATGCGATAATTCCACACTAACTAATTAGATCAAGTTTATGAGATTATGTGAAAGAGGATGCTGTGCCATTGAATGAGTTTGATTATTTATTAACCAAGCAAAACCAAGACTTTTTTACAAACTGCCTCTTCTCTCAGAGCCAGAGTGTCAGTTTACAGTAGAGGGCCATTTTAGAACCTATAGCACATATTATTTAAGTATTTTCAAGATAAACAGAATGTATAAGTGCAATATATATTATAAATGTATATATTTGCACTCTTTCAAGATAAAGGTTTATTATTGCACAACAAGAATTGTTATTTATCTTTTCAACTATGAAAACGAGTTTTACAAAGATATATTTTGCCTCTGAATATTCAAAACTTAAGGTCGTGAACTAGCAGTGTTATGCTGCTTTGAAACATCACTGTCACTGTCAACAACAGGCTGATAAAAATATAACAAACCAGCAATCTTCTTGATGTGAGGTGGTCATACTACCCACTGTGCCACCGTGACACCCATTATTTTTATCATTATTATTATTAATGTTATTATTATAATTAAATAAAAATTTACAGGAGGAGGTGTTTAAAACCTTCGTTCTCCGTGACACTAGGCTGAATATCTTTGCAGATGAACAATGCAATAACATCCGTTATTGGCATAGAGCGCACAGAACTGTTGCGCATGGAAAAAAAAACTTGCAATGCTTTTCTCACCACTTTTGAAGCTGGTAGCTACAGTTGAAGCAGTGCAGGAAGCCGGGGATGTAGGAACACTGGAAGATGCTTTCACAACAACACCGTGGCGCCGCTTCAAGTGAGATTTCAGATTAGTCGTACTGCCTGCGTATTTACAGATGCGCGGCACATTTTGCAAATTGCATCTGTCCTGTCAAGTCGTCCATCCTTAAATCCATAATGTTGCCATACTTTAGATTTAAAACTCAGTGGGGAATAAAATGTCTGTTTTGCTTCTCGCGCTTTCTGAGGGCGCACCACTAGCTTCATCCGCACACCTGATACACTGAGTTGTAGTGTAAGTGTACACATCCGCAAATCCGTTGCTAAGGCATACTTTATGTAGGTCGATTAAATTATGCACCGAAAACAGGTTGACAGCACTTGTTAATAAATAAAAAATACATTCTATGTTAAAAATATAAGCTGTATCTTGGAAAAACCGATTAATCTCGCAAAAACCGATGCATCTCGATTTGCTTCCAAAATTTCATTCATCCTCTGATGCTCTACCGATGCACGCGCATGACCGCGTATCGATACATATCGATTAATCTTCCCATCCCTACTAATTACTGATTTCTTTTATCTTTGCCATGGTGACTGCACATAATATTTGACTAGATATTTTTCAAAATACAAGCATTCAGATTAAAGTGCAATTCAAAGGCCTAATTAGAGTAATTAGGCAAGTCATTGTATAACGCATTGTATTGTAGCATTGACGCAAGTCATTGTAGGAGCGCTAATAATTTTGACTTCAATTGATAATCGTTTTGAATAATCGTGATTGCAATTATAACCAAAATAATCGTGATTATGATTTTTCCCAGAATCAAGCAGCCCTAGGATGTGATTCTTCTGTATAATTATGCAATTACGTATTTTTCGGGTTTGAAATGGGTTTTGGATGTGGGTTCTCTGTGACATTTATCATCATCAAAGCAGATGGCCTGATGGTGTCCCCCTTCAGTGTTCATCATTGTGCAAAAAAAGGAGTGGTAACTGATTTATTCCGGTCGTCTTTCAGGGATGAAATTGTAGACCTACCTCGGCTACTCTGTATATAATACAATGATATTGTGTAGTCTTATAATGTGCACATATGACGAAGGTGCTGACACAATGTAAGATTATGAAATCCCTTTGAATGCGTGTGCGGCTGTGCTCTTTTTCCCTGCTCACATTTCCTCATCACTATCGGGTGCACTCTATGTAGATTATAAATAAAGCCCAGAATGCACATACATTAATACCTGAAAGTTTCATAAGTTTAGATGATATTACAAAGTTAAAAAAATATATTTTTACAATTAATTAAAAAATTTAAACTATTAAAAAGCATGGACCAAGCCGAATAAAAGTGATAAACGTTTTAGCTATATATATATATATATATATATATATATATATATATATATATATATATATATATATATATATATATATATATATATATATATATTTTTTTTTTTTTTTTTCAGGATGGGTTTTAAAGTATATTAGGCTACTCGATTCTTTTGGACCTAATATTTTTACAGTTTGAATTGTCGGCTGACTAGTAGTTTATTTATCACATGAAATAAATATTTTGTTAAATTACAGAAAAAATTATATTCTGTGGACACGAGAACTAACCGAGTTAGGGGCGGTGTGTGGATCTGTCGCAACGTGAAGTACAAAGTATAAACCTATGAAACATTACTTAGGTGACTATTAAACTGATAAAACAGAAAATAAAATTGAAATTGTGTGTTCCATATCAAACATTTATATAAAGAATATTGTTTATTATTACTTTGAAAATTATTATTTGTATGATTTTATTTATATATATATATATATATATATATATATATATATATATATATATATATATATATATATATATATAAAAACACAAATACAAATGTATTTACGGAGGGGCGGGGGTCTCTTCTTCCTTCTTTTTATGTCCTGGGTTGATCACATGCCTGCAATTCGAACACTGTCTGTCAACCATATTCCTTTAGGACTACCAACACTGCATGTTTTAGATATCTCCTTTATTTGTCACCCACTAGAGGGCTGTGTCCAAAATCGCCTACTACACAGTAGGTACTGCATTTATACCGTTCTATACAGTATAAATGTAAGTAGTATGAATGGAACTCTTACGTACTGCATCTGCCATTTTGTCGTGATCACGTGACCTACCTGCTTCAGTTGCGTCGCTTCACTCCCATTCATGAATTCTCTCGTGGTGCTTAATGGGATAGCGTAGCGTTCATCGGATGCGTACTTCAGCATATCACCGAAAGTAGTAGGTCATTCGGGTACTTCTCACATATTGGTTTTTGAATGCTATGAATTTGGACATACGGCTCTGCGTATATACTGTTTTTAGCGTACTAAATTGTATGGAAGTATGCAATTTCAGACACAGCTTGGGTATTATAGTCTCTGTAAATGAGCTCGTAATCTTAGTCAGGTGTCTTTGGTTAAGGAGACATGGAAAATGTCCTGAGCTGGTGGTCCTCCAGGAATGTGGTTGAGAAACTCTGAGTAAGAACATATCAACAACGTGCCCTAAAATGTTTCCTAAAATTTTTTTTCCTCAGGTCTTCTACATCTCCAAAGGCACCCTTAAGATTGCTAACAAACAGTTCTCCTCACTCAAGAACGATTACGAGATGACTCTCAATGGCGAGACAAGCATCATCCCTTGTGAGGATAGTAATGACGTCCCCATGTTGCAGTGCGACTTTGTGTCCATTGCAGACTTGGAGTCTCGGGAGAAAGACACCATCTTGGGTGAGAGCATCTTCTCTCTGGCCTCTGCCATTGGTATAATCAATAACCAGCATTTTAATAATTAACTGCACAAGAGAGTGTGGCACAACTGTAGCGTAACAAATGTGTTGAGACCCAGGAGGTTGTGGTAATTATAACATTGATGATGAACGCAATATTAATAATGCTTATGACAGTAATGGCCTGTGGTGCAGATTGACTTTGTGTCCCTGTCGGGTTCTAGCAGAGAAAGACGCTGTCACTGGTAGAATGAAGAGTCAATAAGCATGCCTCTAATTATGGTAATGGCAGTCGGAGCACGCCGAGGTGCAGCGGGTGTATTTCTTATCCAAGATTTGAGTCAGGTGCTGGCAGTGATTTGTGAAACGCTCGTAATGGCAGCTAAATGATTCATAACAGCGTCTGATATGAGAGGATTAAGATGGCGCGCTGTAATGGAGCATTGACGGGTGTTGTGGAATTACATTCTGGATGAGTAGTATAGTTATCCCAAACCTGTTTACCCTTGATACATTGAGGGAGAAGCAGTGTTGTGAATTCGTACGGCATGTGTGTGTGTGTGTTTACAGATGTGATCGGAGTGTGTAAAAATGCAGAGGATGTGGCACGCATCATGACCAAGAACAGTCGTGAGGTATCCAAGAGGAACATCCAACTGATTGACATGTCTGGCAGAGTCATCCAGCTGACCATGTGGGGCAGTGATGTACGTAACTTGATCCATTTTTATTCATTTTACATCATACTGTATTCAGTGCTTTATAGTACAGGTAATCTGTCAAATATTTGCAGTGTAATGGATGATTTTGTAAATTGGTTAAATATGATGTATTATTATTTTGGACCATTCATTTTGTACTTTGTTTTTATATTATGCATTTATAAATCAAAGATTGTATATCCTGAATGATATACAGTAATTTACAGATGTTTGGACTTAACTTAAGATGTAACTTAACACGAACATTTGCATTCAAAATGCAGTTAAGCAATGTAATGCTCTCTGATATGGTTATAATTTATAAAGCTCCTATGATAAAAGTCATCTCTTTGAAGCTGTTTAGACAGAACTGTGTGCAGGTATAGTGTGTGAACAGTCATTAGGGTGATATAAAGACATTAAGGCTTTTTTTGTAATTTAATTATTTTTTTTTCAATTTCCTGATGTTAAAAATGGGATCAAATCCCTCCCATTTTAACACCAACTGCAATGTGACGTAGGAGTACAGTTTTCCCGCCTGGCGATTTGATTGACTGCCATGTATTAACATATCTCTGTAGTAACGCGTATATATAACATATAACATAATATCTATTCAGTAGATGGTATTAACATGTATCCTGTAACATTTGCTGTGCAAAAACAGTGCAAAGTTTGAACTTTGTAACATTGTGTGTGACTCGTTGCAGAAAAACTTTAATTATTTCCACAACAAATACATCAAATAATCATTGGTAAAGTTCTTACTGTAGTATTTCTCACAATCAGAGATGGCAAAAGTACACACATCCTTTACTCAAGTAGAAGAAGTACAGATAATGTTTAAAAAGACTCTGGTAAAAATTGAAGTACACACTACACTCAAGTGATAACTACACTCAATCAAGTAATTATAGGCTGTTCTTCTTTACTTTTACTTAAGTTGAAAGTACTTATGTAAAAAGTATACCTGTTTTAGTTTCACGATAACCACACCGCACATCATGTATACATCTTCACAAAATAATTAGCATTTCTATATTTTGTTAATATTAATGCTAATTTTCACCAACAAAGTATTCAAGCAACATCACTACAATATTGTCCAACAACACTGCTCAAAATGTTGCCACCTGTCATTACTTGGACACAAAACTTAACTTTACGGCTGTTAAGAACAACAGCTGCCTTGTTTTACCTGTGATCTGATCGACCAAAACGCATCTTGTTGCTCGGTATAAACATGACAATAATCGCAGACTCCCTCTGTCACATCCACATTAGCCAATACCATGGTAAGCTTAGTAAACAAGCCTACTTGCGCTGCAAGTAGATCAGCTGTTGAAAAAGCCACACAAAGCAATTGACAAAGAATAGGTTGACTGAATCAATAAGCATTCAAATTGTGCAATGACAAGAAAAATGTAGATCGCCTCGCAAAACACATTAAAACGAAAGTAACAAGCCTGATTTAAAAAATGTAGAGTAAATAAATACAGATATTTGTGTAAAAATGTAGGGGGTAAAAGTAAAAAGTTGTCAGAAAAAATGTAGTGGAGTAAAGTACTGATACCAGAAAAATCTACTCAAGTACAGTTACAAAGTATTTGTACTTCGTTACTTCCCATCTCTGTTCACAATATTCTGAAAAGTGTAATAAATCTGGGGTGCTTTTGAGCTGAAACATTAGACACATTCTGGAGGCACAAAAGACTTATCTTAAATCTTGAAAAAGGGTAAAATTAGGTGCAAGTGAAATAATCTGTTGTTTTCTATTATACAATACATTTTTTCAGTCCTTCAGAAAGCTTTGCTGTTTTGTGTTTTGACTTTTTTTTTGTCAATGCTCAATTTTAATAATAACTTTTACACACTGGGGATTTCATCACACTACTTAGCAACCTCCAGAATATAATTTTTAAAGGTTGTATCATATCTCTAAGTAAACCATATATTTTTTTAGACGTTATAAATTGAAAGAGTTCAGACTGATGTACTTCATCTTCAATTTTCAGTCTGAGCAGATAAAAAAGCTGCAATGTTTATATTGATGACAGTACTCATTAAAAAAACGTATAACTTTGAGACCTTCATGAATCAGTGATTTAATGCATGCATACCCATCTGTTATTGCGAGGATAACTTTGTGATGATGAGCATTTATCCATCTGTCTTAAACACTGGATTATTGAAAGTATGCATTACTCAATGCACAAAAGCTTTAACACATAATGTCAACAAACGCATGTATGCTTATATTCTCTTTTTTATCTGATGGCATTGAAAACCTTAAGATATTCACTTTTTTTTTATTTGTTGATGTTTATAGAACAAATAAAAGTTCCCAGACCTTTCGTCGTCAGTCATAAGTTATGGTCTGTTACTAAACTGATATTAAAAAAATGGTCGTCAGTGCCCTGTAGATATGATTAATCGGTAACACTTTACAAAAAGGTTAATTAGTTAATGCATTTACTAACATGAACTAATCATGAACAACACCTGTACAGCATTTATTAAGCATAATTGAACATTTACTAATGCATTATTGGCATCCAAGTCCATGCTTGTTAACATTAGTTAATGCACCATAAGTTAACATGAACTAACAATGAACTACTGTATTTTCAGTAACTAACGTTAACTAACATGAACAAATACAGTAGTAAATGTATTGTTCATTCATGTTAGTAAATGCATTAATTACCATTAACTAATGAACCTTATTGTAAAGTGTGACCGATTAATCTCTTCATTATGAGTGTTTGTTGATTATTAAGCAATATATTGCATCATTGTTAAATAAATGTATTAATTCATTATTGACCCCATGTGTTTGAATTAACTTAGTCTCTGCTGAATTGGAATCCTTATGAAAAACATGTAATCTAGCCCTAAATGATCTACTACCAGATAATGTTCTTTAGCATTGGGAAAATCTCCCCTTTTCCATTACAGCTGCCAGATGTCGGCTTCTATTTGACATGTCGACCATTCTCATTTCATCAGGATTTGCCATGAAAAACCACATTAGCTCATGATTCTTTTGCACTGTTGCAAGTAAAATGTGTTTGCATTTTTCGAAGGAACATGAATTCACTTTGTCAGCGCATAACAATTCCATCGTCCTTTCCTTCTGCAGGCAGAGACGTTTGATGGCAGTGGTCAACCCATCTTGGCCATTAAGGGTGCAAGATTGTCTGACTTCGGTGGGCGTTCTCTCTCCACTCTCTATAGCAGCACAGTCATGATCAACCCTGACATTCCTGAGGCGTACAAACTGCGGGGCTGGTGAGTGAATTTTCTCAGTTTCTCTTGCACATTGTGCATTACGCCACATTTGCTGTTAAGTGTTTGTCCTAGACGAAACAGATGCGTTCTGATGCTCCCCTGTTTTTATTTCTCCACTTGTGAGAATTGGGACGAGCAAAGAGCAGACGCTAAAATGCACACTCCAGAACTCCGAGAGCGTGAGCATGCTCATCCCTTTGATATCAAGATTAGCTCTATCAGCGGTGCTCTGGTGGGCTTTGCATTCAGGCTGATATAGGAATGCAAATCATGGCTAATCCCCTGCCAAGATGCTCAGTTTTCCCTTGTGGACTCGTGTGACTCGGGTCCTTTGAGAACAGGAATGTTTATTTTTGCTCTGGGGATGTGAAACAAGGAAGATGGGGAAACGACGGAGCTGAACGCCTCATTGAGACATGATGGTGTTATAATGCTTGTATACAAGGCAGCAGCACTGAGTATATGATGGCTGCCTGTGTTTTTGGAGCAGAGGGGCTGTCCTAATCCTCGTACATTCTTATTCGCTTCTGACTGAATTGGAAAAAAAACTGTTATGACTCATTTAATGTTTCCTCTGCTTCCTCTTGCCAATTTAGGTGCGTGTTGGGACTGCCAAATTTATAATTATGAGGCTTAAAATATCTCAGATAAACATGTCACAGTTATTGCATAATCACCAGATTGCAATTGAGTGAACTGCAATCATTGCGCACTTTCAGTTGCAAGCAGATATAAATTGCCATCTTAACAATGAAGTCTAAGATGAATTGCTTTTTATAAATGTATATAGTATATTACATAACATTGTTTAAGGAATCTTGTACCATGAGTCTTCTGGGTTTAATGTTGTTTCAACATTCCTCAAAATACACTAAAATCATGCATTTTTGAACAAAATAAAATGAGTAAATGACACTTAGTTGTTTTGAGAAAATAGTCCATGTGCTGCTTAAAGAATTACTCATTCCATGGGCATCAGAGCAACTGCTGTTCATTAGAACAACTAGTGTGACAGCTAGAAAATGTTCACGTTATATAAACAAAACCAGTTATATTGTTAACACATGGGGCTTTTAGACACATTTGCTTTTGAATTTGGGGTGGTGCTACCACATATTACACACTAATATAACACTTAGATTTTTGCACATTGTGTTTTTAAGACTAAAACAAATATTTACAAGATGGAATAATTTTATTCTTAACAAAAAGCTCTACTATAAACTGTGTTCGAGGAGTCTTAAAAAGTCTTACATTTTGAAAACAGAATTCCTAAATTGACTTAATTATTGACTTGTAGGTCTTGAATCGTTTTAAACCGATCTTAAGGCGGATTTATACTTCTGCGTTAAGCACACTCTTATGATATGGCACAGCCTTCGTGCAGTTGCATAGCTCTCGCCATGGCTGACGCTGATGTGCACATCTCAAAAAATGTAACTACACATTGCAACGATGCAAAGCGCAAGCTCTGGTTGGTCAGCTTGGTAG